AAGATACGCCAGGGCGTCTTGGTCGGGCGGCGGGAGGCCTCTTGGCAGCAAGGCGTGGGCCCGTGAGAGGTATGGCGGCAGTGGTGCCGCGAAAGCCTCAGGGCCGACGAGCTGGGCACGAGCGCACTGGCATTCCAGAAGGAGGCCAAGGTAACGGGTGGGGTACTCGTGGCTGCCCTGAATACGAGTGAGGTTGCGGTTGGTGCGCTGTCTGTCGGGGCCCGCTCTGTGCCAGATATCCTCGCGCATGTCGAACGCGGTGCGGTGGCGCAGGGCGTCGTTTTTCTCCGCGGAGTCCTCCTGGAAAAAGTGGTCGTACTGTGGCAGATGGAGCGTCGCCAGGACGTGCGGGACGCAGTCCTCGAGCCATGCCCAGCACACGTCCTGATGGTCCTCACCTGGTGCCCACGCCGCGGCGCACGGTATGAGCCGTGCTCGGATGTTCATCAGGTGCCAGAAAGCGGGGTCCTCCTCGGGTTCACCCCTGGCGCACAGAGGGGTAGTGGGACTCGTGGGGCTGAAGCGGGGCACGACAGCGGGGCTGAAGCCGCCACTGCGTGCCTGGGCCTTGCCAGCGGCCCTGTCGAGGATATGCTGCACGACGGTCGAGGACAAGCTGAGGACAGGGTACCATCGAGGATATGCTGTACGACAGTCGACCGCAAGCGTCATGTTGAGTGATGGTAGCCCTCGTAGCTGAACTTGCATGCGGTGCGAGGCGTGGCCGGAGGACGCAGGAGTCATCTCAGCTGCGGCAACATCGGTGGTCGACTGCGATGCATGTGTCGTAGTTGACGAGGGCGTGCTCGTAGGAGACATGCTGGTACTCGTCGTAGACGTCGTAGTAGCCGTCGAAGTCCCAGGGGGGCAGCGCGTGGGGCGGGGCCCCTGGTGCTGCTCAGGCCAGGCGCTCGCGGGGGCGCCCAGCGGCCCGGTGCCGCACGGACCAGCGGCGGCGGTGCTGTTCACGATCGGGTCCAAAATGGCGCTGTGATCGTATTTGTAGATGCTGTCATCGTAAAGGTAGAAGAGCGTCCCACGCTCCGCATGTCGCAGGAAAGCCTCTCCTCCGTGCTGGGGCGCACCGCCTGAAGACGGGTGTGCTCCAGCCAGCGAGGGGAGGGCCAGGCCGCAGGCAAGGCGCCACATGATGGCGAGGCCTGGCGGGCGGCGCGAGCGATGAGCCGAAAGCTGCGTGGCAGCACACGTCCTCAAATACCCCTGAATGCTCATGTACATTGCTACAATCACGCCCCCTGCAAGACTACGGGTGTCCCTACACCAGATAGCTTGCGCGTGCTGCTGCCAAAACAGACATGAGGTAACAAGAAAGAGATACGACGCGAAGAGGGGAGCGATGCCTCTGAAGGCGCTTCCTCGGAGGGCTGAGGCGGGCTCTCTGAGGCACCTTCAATAGGGTTCCTGGGTGGCCCGACCCTTGTCCTTGCCTTTGTCGGCCCCTGGGGGCCCCGTCCCTGGGGTGGCCTGGCCTGGCTGGTCGGTCAAACTGCAGGCTGCCGCGGGCTCGGCGGCCGCTGCGGCTTCCTCCTTCTTAGTTTCCAGAGTGGCCGCTTGTGGCAGGTGGATGGTGCCTCCCGTGAGGTGCCCGAGGAGGGTCTGGATGTCGCCGCGCAGTGCAGCGGCGTCGGCGGTTGCCGTCTGTTGCTGGGTGACGACGGTGGCAAGCCCCCGTTCCAGCCCTGAAACGTGCTCCGTGAGTGTGGCCTGGGAGGAGAGAACGCCCGCAAGCTGCACCTGCATGTTATCCACCGTGTTGGCTAGCAGCTCGTGCTGCTGTTCCATGTGCTGGATGCGGGTCGTGGCAGCATCGGGCGGTTTAGAGGCCGATGCGAAGCGCTCGCCGAAGGTGTTGAGTTCGTGGGAGGCCACGCTGTATTCATCACCTGATGAGAGGATCTCGACGTCGACGACGTCACCTGGTACTTCGGCGGCTGTGGCAGCGTCGCCTTCGGTGTGGCCCCCACCTTCTGCCGCCGCCGTGCCAAGCCAGGGGTCGTGGCCACCTGGTCCTGGGGCGGCCGTCGGTTCAGCGGCTCCGTCCGTGCCGTGCGGGGGCGCAGAGGAGCTGCGGCCTGGGGCGCAGGGTGGCCTTGCGTGCGGCGTGGCGTCACGTTTCCCGCTGGAGGAGCGGTGGCGCTTGGCTGAAGGCTCCTCCTTGGGGGTCAGGAGCGGTGCGACGCCCTTGCCTTTGGGCGTGGCAGTCATGAGGTCGTGGAGGTAGGGGCTCTGGGCCGCTTTGGTGAGGAGTGTGCCGGTGGCGGGGCTAAAGCCGCCACCACCGGCTGGCGGCGTCACAGGCTCTGTGATGGTGGTAGGCGTGACGATGGTAACGTTGTCCCGCTTCGGCGCCACCTCAGCCAGCGGGGCCTCGGTGATGCTCCACGGGATGGGGCACCCCGCGACCTGCACCGTATAGGTGAGTGGGGGCCGATGAGCGCGCACTAAGGCAAACTGGGCCGCAGTGGCTGGGTCCCAGGCGGTGTGGTAGACCTCACAGTCCCATTTAACGGACGGGCCCGTGAGAGTCTTGGCGAGCTGGGTCAGCGTGGCGTGGCGTGCCGCAATGCCAGTGATGCGGTAGCGCGTCTTGGCGAGGGTAGCCTCGCAGCCGCGGATGCTGACAGCAGCGGCCTTGGCGACGTCGGACCCCCGCGGAACACGGATCCCCAGCAGGCCTGACTTGCCGTGCCTGACGACTCCCAGGGCCTTGAACTCCACCGACTTCTGGAACGCGTCTGCCATCGTGATGGGCTGGTCCTCAGGGAACCAAACGGTCTGATACTTGTCGGCGGTGGGCTCGTCTGCACCTACGTTGCTGAGGTCGTAGGTGGCACCGAGTTGCCCTGATCCCGCCAGGACCTTGTCGACCGCTTGGAGACTGACGCCGAAGGTGGCAGCCAGGGACCTCTTTCCGACGCCCGATCCAAACCTGCCTAGGCTTTTGCAGGGTTCGAGGATGGTGACGGCTTTAAAGTTGCCGTGGAAGAGGGCCTTGAAGGTGTCCTGGAGCTGGCTATCGAGCTCCTGGCGGCGAGCGTCTTTCTTGGACTCCTTGTGCTTTTGGCGCGCCTTGTCCTGTGGAGCGGAGTCGCCTCGAAAAGGGCCCTTGGCGCGTGGACCACCGTTCACGGGGGCACCTCCCGAGAACTGGTCCTCGAAGGCCTGGTGCATGGAGGGGACTGCGGCAATGGCCTCGGTCTCGTGTATGGTCGCCCGAATCCAGCAGACGTGGTCGGCGGGGTCGATGGTGGCGACGGCTACCTTTTCCGTGCAGGCGACCTCCTTGGTGCCCAGCTGGTACACGATCACGGGGACGTGCGTGTGGACCACTTTGGGCGCCTTGGGGTGGCGCTTCAGGACGGGGACGGCGAGCTCGGTACCGACGTAGTTGTCGTTTTTCGGGCCCATGACAGCAATCGCGAGCTGACCCGTGGCTCGCTTGCCCTGCTCGAGGTGGTGCTGCAGCAGCCGTTCACCACTCTCGTAGTCGTGGAGGCTGATGCTGGGCTTGTACGTCTTGCCGTCGTCAGGCGAGGTGGGTTCGGCAAGGACAGGGACCTTCCAAAAGGCAGGGTCCAAGGCGATGAATTGGGTGTCCGCAGCCTGAAGACGTGCGGAGCCCGCTGGTGGATGCGATGTGTCACCGCCAGTGCGCTTAGGCTTGCTGCGCTGGTGGTGATCGAGCGTGTAGCTAATCTGGTTGGCGGCGCACATGCGGATAAGGGCGCTGCCAAGCTTCTTCGTGTTGGACTTGTGCATGTCGTACATTGCCTGGAGCTCGTCCGCGTTCAGTTCGGCTAGCCCGTTATAGGCGGCCGTGGGGCGGTCAGACCCCGCTTGCCTGAACGCTGCGATGCAGTCCTGCTTGCGTTGAAGGAGGGACCCTTCAGCAGCAGGGCGCGTGGGACGGGAGCTCGGAGGCTTCTTTGAAGAGTGACGGCGCTCCGGCTTCTTGGGGGCCATTGCTGCGGGCACTCTGGTGCGGAGAGGTGACGCGAATCAGTAGGGTCCTGCTGGGACCCCTCCGGTCTCGCGAGGCCTGGGAGTCTGACTCCGAGGCGGGGCGCTTCGCGTCGTAGCTGCGGTCTGAGTGCAGAGCACTCTCGAGCCGAGACTCGAGAAGAGAGAGAGAGAGAGAGAGAGAGAAAAAGAGAGAGAGAGAGAGAGCGGGAGAGAGCGAGAGAGAGAGAGAGAGAGCAGAGAGAGAGAGAGAGCGGGAGAGAGCGAGGGAGAGCGAGAGAGAGCGAGAGACAGCGAGTGAGAGCGAGAGAGAGAGAGAGCGAGAGAGAGCGACAGAGAGCGAGAGAGAGCAAGAGAGAGCGAGAGAGCGAAAGAGAGAGAGAGAGAAGAGAGAGAGAGATAGAGAGAGAGAAAGAGAGAGAGAGAGAGAGAGAGAGAGATAGAGAGAGAGAGAGAGAAGAGAAGAGAAGAGAAGAGAGAGAGCGAGAGAGAGAGAGAGGGAGAGTGAGAGAGAGAGGAGAGAGCAGAGAGAGAATAGAGAGAAGAGAGAGAGGAGAGAGAGAGAGAGAGAGAGAGAGAGGCAGAGATAGAGGCAGAGAGAGAGAGGCACAGAGAGAGAGGCAGAGAGAGAGAGAGAGGCAGAGAGACAGAGGCAGAGAGAGAGGCAGAGAGAGAGAGAGAGGCAGGGAAAGAGAGGCAGAGACAGAGAGAGGGCAGAGAGAGAGAGAGAGAGAGACAGAGAGAGCAGAGAGAGCAGAGAGAGAGGCAGCTCAGTCACACTTAAATCCAGATTCGTCCTCACCGAGTCCCACCACCAAGGGAGCGCCAGCAAGGAGATGCACATATGGGGATCCCCACGCAGTGAATAATTTTCGCAAGATGATCCAGGATGCTCCTCGATAGTCCCCGCCGAGAAAAAGGTGCACACGACCGAGCGATACCAAGCCTAACGTTGCCCCATGTGTTCTGTCACAACGATCACGACGCTTCAGCGCCGCTCGCTAGGACAGTCGGGTGACATCCGGGCAACTGGTAGATGCCCCGCAGGCCGAAGTGGACCATGGCCTCCCTGAGGAGCTCGAGATACCTCGGCTCCCGCTGGCCCCCAGTTGCCGCCCCGGTGCCCGCGGGACGTCGACAGAAGCAAACGAACAGTGCTCGCGGGATCCACACAGAAGCACCCAGAACCCCGACATCGTAACTTGTTTCACAACGTGGACCCCCAGGGGTCTCGACCCCTTCCCCGGGGCCAGGGCTTCATCCCGAATCGTCTGTTGCCTTCTCCAGGGCCCGGTGATGTCCTCCAGAGGGCGCAAATCTAGCAATGGCCTCCCGTCGTGATTTTCTCGCGACGCGAGCAGGTCTGGCAAGCAGGTGGTCCCCGAAACTCCCCACTGCCAAGCTCGTGCGTCCGGCGGGAGAGGGGTTGAGGAGCACCCTAGTCCTTGCTCAGCATCGCCCACCTGGAAGTGCAGCCCCCCCACTGTGCAACTACATGTGAATCCTACACCTACAGGTCAGATTTCTGAAACGCAGGCGTGGGCTCAACGTTTGAAGGATGTCTGCACGCAAGTGAATCCACTACGGGGAGGTCCGAGAACCTAGCGTCGCTCAGACCCGCACGGGTAGGTTTCGTTGGCGATTGCAGAATCAAAAAAGAATCAGCGCTGTGGGGTTGTTACATCAAGGCTCCCTTCTAGAAAGTCTTGCTCCCCCGGAGAAGAAGGGGTCCCTCCAGAATCTTCCGATGGGCCGAGGACCGTTAGATCTTCCCTCTTGCATTGAAGCCGCCACTGCCCCGTTGCCCCCCTCACCCCTGCCTCCGCCACTTGCGCCCAAGCTGCTCACTTTTCAGGGTCGGCAGATCTGGTCCTTGCAATTGCAGTCTACGCAACCAACCAATGCTTGAAGGATATTATGGGGTGGGTTAAAAGTCTGATCAAACATGTGCAGCACGAGGTCCCGCAAATGCTGCACTCAGCCTTCAAAGTACCACCGTAACATACAGCAATCACGTGGGACTTGCCATTCTTTACCTGCATGATCGCCCCATCGATTTCGTCGCCAGTGTGTTCAAGGACTCTCTCAACCCGAAACGGCCTAGTACACGACCTCCCTGCAATCAACCCTCGTCGTCTTGTACACGTTTTCGTGCGATGTTGCGAAGACCTTCAACATAGCCTCATTATGTATGTATGTATGTATGTATGTATGTATGTATGTATGTATGTATGTATGTGTGTATGTATGTATGTATGTATGTATGTATGTGTGTATGTATGTATGTATGTATGTATGTATGTATGTATGTATGTATGTATGTATGTATGTCAGTATACATATATATATGTATATATAGGTATATTTTGTGGAGCCCAATCCCGGCCTGACCGTTCATCTCGAAAATGTATGCTCGGTGTTGCGTATTATTATATGCAGGGCAGGGGCCAGCGTTACATCATATATGCCCTTACAAAGACCATCATCACGAACGAGAAAAACATACTGCAAATTTGAATACGTAAACTCTACAATGATCTCGAACCGTGCGTCACATCACGCAAGTCCCAGCGCAAAAGACTACCACTGGCATTCTGCATCAACCTATGATCGGCAACATGCTTGATTGTGTTATTCCACGGTTATGAACGCAGAACCTGGGGTCCGATTAGATTGGATCGGAGGATCGAGCCGCATCGCCGATGCCTGGCCGATGTATCGCCGATGCGCTGGCGACGTCGGCGATGCATCGGCGACGTCGGCGCGGAAATAATCAGGCTCCACATCGAGCCGCATCGCTGATGCATCGGCGATGCGGCACGATTCTCCGACCCCATCTACCCACACCCAATTTGGAAGGCCTGGAACAGATGGCCCTTGAAAATCCACCAAAAAGTACACAAAACACGCCAGAACACTACATTACATCAAACCGATGTTCACGTCGGCCTGTAAGGAACCGCTCGAATTTCCCTGACGAGAACAAGTCTGCCCAATGGAATGGCGCAGGTGCATCGAACCCTTTCGACCAACTCCGCAATTCGGTGTTTCAGGAACGGGCCGCGGCATCCGTCTCCAGATGCTCTGGATGTACTGTGCTACGACCATGAGTCTGATGGCTGGCTCCGAGGACCCATGCCGTCGGGAGTCTCTGCTGGGACGTTGGAACGGATGGCAAGTGGCAGAACGCGCGGGAAATGCTCACGCCTTGAATGGCGGAGGTAGTCGACAGGCTCTGAGCCGCCCCCAGTGCACCCACCCTGGAGGCGGCCAGAGGGTATGGGCTGGATGGCAAATCCGCTCAATATCCTGCCCCGACCCCAGACCCCTCCCAATGACCATCGGGTGCACAGTTTCACCCCGGACCCAGTTTTGACTGTCCCAGGGCCCGAATACGCCCCCCGAACAGCCTTGTCGAACCCTTAACTTTGAACCTCCTCCTCATTCGTGCTGGCTGGAACCAAAGCTGGGCCACCTCAGCCCCCTGGCCGGCTCCAACATCCGCCCAGTGAGACAACCCCCACCCTCCCCACGAAGCCTGCGACTGGTGGCCCAGAGCCCACACCGCGCCTGCAGCACCACGAAGCACCAGATGGAGGCAAGGCGAGCAGCGAGACGAGGAGGTCGGCGAGGGGAAACGAGGAGGGCGCGGGCAGGGACCGGCAGCCGTCACCAATTGATGGTCCACCGCTGGGGGGTGGTCCCGAATCCGTCCGGGCACAGACCGCTGCTGCGTGCACAGTCGAGCTCTCGCTGCAGCGCGAACCACGGCTCTGCGCGCCACCTTTCGAGCACTCGCGGCACAGCCGGTGCCCCATCCCCATATTTTTTTAAACAAGTTCCAAGGCAACACATCAAACATTGTATGCTTGAGGTGATCCAGCAGGGCGGCAGTGCCACGGACACGGTAATACGCCTGGTTCGAAAAACAACTCCTCCCTGCCGCGCGAAGCCCTACATCGGTGCAGGCAGAAGGAGCTATGGTTAAGTCGGGCCTGTCCCCCTACAGGGCGAATTTCGACAAAACAAGAAAGAAATACCGCAAACATGCTCCAAACATGTTCAAAAATAGTCCAAAAATAATCCCCTGATTATTTTTTCACTATTTTGGAATATTCCTCCTGTAGAGGGACGGGCCCGACTTAAAGCTATGGCCCAGAAACCAGGGTTCGAACGTTTTGCTCACCCCGAGTCGCACCGGGAGGCACTGGAAGGAGGAGGGAGGGGGAGGAGAAGGGGCAGGGGCGCTGTGCGGATGTCCCCTGCGGCCCAGACGGCCCCTGACAGAATGCGGTGCAGAGGAAGGGCAGCGGCGAGAGAGGGGGGAGGAGGAGGAGAGGAGAAGAGGACACGCCGCATCGGAAGGGGGCGTGCTCGATGATGGAGAGCATTCCCCCCCACACTTCTGTCAGCCCTGCGGTGGACACGCGAAGGACAAGACGGCGCGAGAGAGGGAGAGAGGGAGAGAGGAAGAGAGAGAGGCAGATGGTGGGAGCGAGCGAGGGAGCGGAATGGACGCCAAATCACAGCACGAGGACTCCTCTGGCCAGCCAACACACAAAGACATTACTGAGAGACAGCGCCCAGGGAAGGCAAGGCCTCCTTCCCCCCCCCTCCCTCCGCGAGGCCGGGGGATTGTGGAGACCCTCGACGTTTTCATACGGTTTTTAATCGAGTGAAGCGCTCTTTCACCCCGAAACTTTGATTGTGTTTTGCAATTTTTCTTTTCGCCGTGATCCCCTCATACTAGCCTTGTCTCGTTATATCGTTCTCTAGTGTTCTCTCTCTCTCTCTCTTTGTCTCTCTCTCTCTCTCTGTTTTTTTTTTCTCTCTCTCTCTCTCTCTGCCTATCTCCTGCACCAGGCCAACGCGTGCCGATGCGATACAAATCCATTCCCAACCAACACCAATGCCAATGCAATGCCAATGGCGGAATCCTTTATTTCAATAAGAATACTTTGTGGATGATGTCATTAAGAATCCTTCTTCGGAGGATGTCAATAGCAATGCTTATGTGTAGGGTTTCGATAGGGATCCTCATGTGGAGGGCATCACTAGGAATCCTTCATGTGGGAGGATCTAGTCGGAATCGTTCTTGAGGAGGGTTTCAGTAGGAGTCCGTCTGCGGAGGGAGCCATTAGGACTCGCCAGCGCGATGCCAACGCACGGCTAACGCACTGCCATCGCAATGCCAAACCAATGCCAAGGCGATCCCAATTCAATACCAATGAAATGCCAATGGGGGGTATCCTGTGTGGTAGATTCCAAAAGGAATCCTACCTGTGGAGGTTTTCGATTGGAATCCTTCCGTGGGGGGGTTCAGTATGAATCTTTTTTGTGGGGGGCTGTCAAAAGGATCCCTTCTTGTGGAAGGTAAGGAATCCTTCTGTGGTGGCGGCCATTCGAACTCGCCAGCGCAATGCCGACGCAGTGCCAACGCAATGCCAAACCAATGCCAATGCAATGCCAATGGGGGGAATTGTTTGTGGTAGATTTCAGTAGCAATCCTTCTAAGAACCCTTCTTCGGGGGATTTCAATTAGAAACCTTGTATGGAGGGCTTCGCATGGAACCCTTCTGATGAGGATTTCAATTTGAATCCTTCTTGTGGGGGGGTCAATAGGCATCCTTTATGTGGAGGTGTTCAATAGGAATCTTTGTTAAGCGTTTGGGTAGGACTCGCCAGCGCAATGTCAACGCAATGCCAACGCACTGCGAACGCACTGCAAACGCAATGCCGATGCAATGCCAAAGCGATCCAAATGTTATGCCAATGCAATGCCAATGGAGCGCATTATGTGTGGTAGATTCCAAAAAGAATCTTACCTGTGGAGGTGTTCGATTGGAAGCCTTCCCTGGGAGGGTTCAGTATAAATCTGTTATGTGGGGGGCTTTCAAAAGGAGCCCTTCTCGTGGAAGGTAAGGAATCCTTCTGTGGTGGGAGCCATTCGAACTCGCCAGCGCAATGCCGACGCAGTGCCAACGCAATGCCAATGCAATGCCAATGCAATGCCGATGGGGGGGAATTGTTAGTGGTAGATTTCAACAGCAATCCTTCTAAGAACCCTTCTTCGGTGGATTTCAATGGGAAACCTTATATGGAGGGCTTCGCATGGAACCCTTCTGTTGAGGACTTCCATGTGAATCCTTCTTGTGGGGGGGATTCAATAGGCATCCTTGTTTGTGGGGGTGTTCAATAGGAATCCGTCTATGAAATGTTTGAGTAGGGCGCGCCAGCGCAATGTCAACGCAATGCCAACGCACTGCTAACGCACTGCCATCGCCATGCCAACGCAATGCCAATGCGATGCCACACCGTTGCCGAACCAATGCTAATGCAATGCCGATGGCGGGATTTCTGCCTTCCAACAGATTTCACTAGGATTCCTTATGTGGATGAGTTGGTTACGAATCCTTCTTCGGAAGATTTCGATAGGAATCCTCCCGTGGAGGGTTTCGATTGGAATCTTTCTGTGGGGGGGGTCACTTTGAATCCTTCATGTGGGGGCTTTCAAAAGGATCCCTTCTGGTGCAAGGTGTTCATAGGAATCCTTCTGTGGGGGGGGGGGCATTAGAACTCGCCAGCGCAATGCCAACGCAATGCTAAACCAATGTCCACGCGATCCCAATTCAATGCCAATGCAATGCCAATGGGGGAAATCGTTTGTGGTCGGGTTCAAGAAGAATCCTTCAATGGAGGGGTTCGAATGGAATCCTTCCGTGAGGGAGTTCAGTGTAAACTCTTCTTATGGGATGCTTCAATCGGAATCCTTCTTGTGGGGGGTTCAACAGGAATCATTATGCCAAGGGAGGTGTTGGAACTCGCCAGCGCAATGCCAACGCAGTGTCAACGCAATGCCACGCCAATGCCAAAGCGATCCCAACCCAATGCCAATGCACTGCCAATGGGGGAAATCCTTTGTGGTAGATTTCAAAAAGAATCCTTCTGAAGAGAGCTTCGCATGGAATCCTTCTGCGGAGGGTGTCAATATGAACCGTTTTTTGTGGAGGGCTTCAATAGGAGAACTTCTTGTAGAAGGTTTCGATCGGAGTCCTTCTGTGGAGGGTTCCATTAGGACTCGCCCGCGCAATGCTTGCGAAATGCAAGCACACGAGCAACGCACTGCCAAGCGCAATGCCAACGCAATGCCGATGCGATGCCAAACCATTGCCAAACCAATGGCAATGCAATGCCAACGTGGTGCTCATTCTTTCGAAGCATCTCAATATGAATCCTTCCGCGGATGATTCCAATGGGAATCCATCATATGTGGAGGATTTCAATAGGAATCATTCAGTGGAGGGTTTCGGTCGGAATCCTTCTGTAGAGGGTTTCACTATGAATCCTTCTTGTGAGGGCGTTCAATGGGAATCCTTCTAGGGGCGAGGGCCATGAGGGAGATCAATGTGAACCCTTCTTGTGAAATGCTTCAATCGGATTTTTTCCTGTGGGGGTTCAACAGAAATCATTCTGCGAAGGGAGGTGTTGGAACTCGCCAGCGCAATGCCAGCGCAGTGCCAACGCAGTGCCAAAAACCATGCCACGCCAATGCCAAAGCGATCCCAACCCAATGCCATTGCACTGCCAATGGGGGAAATCCTTTGTGGTAGATTTCAATAAGAATCCTTCTGGAGAGGGCTTCGCATGAATCCTTCTGTGGGGGGTGTCAATATGAATCGTTTTTGTGGAGGGTTTCACTAGGAGTCCTTCTTGTAGAAGGTTTCGATCGGAGTCCTTCTGTGGAGGGTTCCATTAGGACTCGCCAGCGCAATGCTTGCGAAATGCAAGCACACTAGCAACGCACTGCCAAGCGCAATGCCAACGCAATGCCAATACGATGCCAAACCATTGCCAAACCAATGGCAATGCAATGCCAACGGGGAGTTCTTTCTGTCGAAGCATCTCAATATCAATCCTTCTGCGGGTGATTTCAATATGAATCCATCAGTGGAGGATTTCAGTAGGAATCATTCAGTGGAGGGTTTCGATAGGAATCCTTATGTAGAGGATTTCACTATGAATCCTTCTTGTGAGGGCGTTCAATAGGAATCCTTCCAGGGGGGAGGGCAGATAAGGCCGCGTCGCCTTCCTTTCTTTTGCCGCCGAAGCCCCCCCCCGAAAAAAAACAGCTTTAAAGATTCCAACATGATTTTTATTTTTTTGGGGGGGGAGGGGGGAGAGAAAAAAAAAGAGGAGGATGCGGAAGGAGAGGAGGACGCCACAGAGTACGCACACCACTGAAAGACGCACGCGCGAACTCAGTGTGAAAGCCTCGGGCGCTCTGGAACCCCGAGGGGCTCCACACTCCTCCGTTCTCCCCTGCCGCCCCTCACCCCACGTCTCCTCCCTCCCTCCCTTCCTTCCTCCCTTCCCTCCTTCCTCCGCCCCTCCCCTTCCTCTACTCCTTCCTGCTCTCTTTTCTCGTTCCTTTCCCCTCCTCTCCCCTCCCATCCTCTGCCCCCTCCCTCCCTCCCTCGTCCCCTCCCCTCCCTCCCTCCCCCCCCCCCCTCCCCTCCCCCCTCCCTTCCTTCCTCGTCCCCCCCCCCCTCCCCTCCCTAGTCCTCCTCCCCCTCCCCTCCCCAGCTGAGGCCCCCGCTCCGCCCGCTGCGCCCCGACCGGCGGGGCGCCGTGCGCCCGCCCGCCCCCCGCGACGTACTCGAGCACCACCCGCTCGAGCAGCTTCGGCTGGAGGCCGGGCCCGCCGGCATCGACTCTTATGCTCAAGTCGGGCCTGTCCCCCTCCAGGGGGGAATTGTCGACGAAACATAAAAACATACCCCCAACAATAGTCAAACAATTGTCCAACATAGTCTGGGGACTATCTTTTGATTGCGTTTTTGGTGCCTTTTGGGGGCATTTTTGGGGTATCCTTTCCTTTTCGTCGGAAATCCCCTTGTAGGGGGACACGCCCGACATAACTCTTATGCTGTCCCCATCCTGCTCGAGCACCGCCTCCCAGAAAGACCTTCGAGCACCCGGCAGAGGGCCGAACGGGTGTCGAAAAACATCCCGCCGGCGGAAGGGCGGCCCCGTTTTGCTTCCGCCGCCCTGCCTTCTTTTTCAACGCGACTCCCATAGCCTAGGAAGTTTAGCGGGGGCTCCAGCAACTACCGAGTAAACGACGCGGCGCGATCCAGGTCAATCAAAGCCCTGAAAACGAACGGCGGGCACGGGGCGACAGGCGGACAGAAGGATCGGGCAGCACCGGCCGCCCTTCCGCCGCCTTCCGCCGAAGGATCGGGCAGCACCGGCCGGCACGGAGACGAAATCGGACAGACTCGGCGACGCCAGGATGCACCACGGCAGGCCGGTCGGAGCCGAGATCGAATCGGACCACTCGGCTCGAAAAGTGGACCCTGGGAGGGGGCGCTCGTGCTGCCGGCGCCACTCGCCCGCTGGGGCCACGCGGCAAGCCTCCCGACGCGCAGCCTGGTCTCGCACAACCTTCGCGCTTCGCGCCGCGCGCAGCGCGAGGCGCGGCTACAGAGGGAGTACAGCCGAAGATATGATTAAGAAAACGATATAAGGGGAACGAACACTGACAATGACGATAGACATAAACATGATAACTCGGAGGTCCGCGCGGATTTCTGGGATCGGCGCTGGGGCCTCCGGGCGGCGCCTCTGGCGCCGCCTCTGGTGCGCTCCGCGCGACAGGGAGGGGGTCCAGCGCGGATCCAAGAAATCCGCGCGGACCCCCGAGTTGTCATGTCTATGCCGTTCCTCATCCCCTGCTATACCTTAAAACATCTGGGCTAGCTTCCCGGAGGCTTCTTGAAAGAAGCCTGGGTCAACTTCTATTGTTAACGCTGTGGGGACGGACGTGCTCAAGAAGCGGGGCCAGCCCTCTGGCAAGTTGGCTCAGAAACGTCGGCCCAGCTCTTCGGGAGGAGGTGTCTGAATCAAATGCTCGACCGTACCAAACCATAAGCTGGCCTGCCGGCGGCTGCCAAACAGGAGCCTCCTGTCTCCAGATGGGCCCGCAGAGCCCAGGGGCACCGTACGAAGCACAGGCCCGACGAAGTATGTGCCCCCAGATCCTTTACGGCAGGACTTCTCATCGCGCGTGCCACCTGGATGTCCGCGCCGTCGCGCACCCGCCATGGAGACGAGCCACTCTTCACACTCGGGCGCGACCGCAAGCGCGCCACATCGTCGCTCGCGTGCTGGCCGTGCGGAAACATCCGACGCTTAGGGCACATCAGGAGGAGGAGGAGGAGGACGAGGAGGAGGAGGAGGAGGAGGAGGAGGAGGAGGGGGAGAGGGAGGAGGGGGAAGACGAGGAGGAGGAAGAGGAGGAAGAGGAGGAGATCTTGCGGTCGCGTCGAAGGGACTAGGACTGAAAGCGAGCTGCCCCCCTCCAGCACAGGACCCGGGATTGCCGAGGCACGGAGTCAGAGGAAACGCGGCATGACGAGGCTCGAAGGTTGAGGATGAAGGGCCAATTTGATGATTATCGGCTGCCCCACGGCTCCTCCAGACTCCGGGACCCTTCTGGGAATCCCAGGACACCGGAAGAGCTCCCACATTGCATGGAGAAGACACCACGAAGCCCGCAGGCAAGAATTCAGCACTCACACGCGTGAAGCCTCACGGCATGGCCGTGCCGAAGGGTCTTGGAGAGAAGATGGGTCTCAGGGCGCAGCCGCCGATCTGCCCGAGGCGACCCCCGCGGCCCAGGCTTGGAGGGAGCCGCGCGACCGGCCGGCCAGGTGTGCCCCGCAGGAGGGCGGGCCGAGAGCTGGACCCAAACTCTGCGCGCGCCTCGCGCGCGAGCTCGGGCCCCTTGGCCCACGCGGCCCCGAGAGCTTGAGGGGACAGGCCCTGGACACATCCGGGCCTCGGCCCCGCGACGGCCCACCCTCGCCACTGCGCAGAGGTACCAGGCGCCCGCCAAGTGTTCGCGCCGAGGTAGGCACGCCGCACACGCCACAGAGGCACGTGCCCACGCACCGCGCGGCACACAGCAGGCATCGTGCCCTCCATGCGACCAGCGCGCTGCCGAACCCGCAACTCGGAAATTGCACTGCTGCCCCGTTGATTCACATTTGATTTACAAGCGGCTCACGATTAGGGAAACCAAGAAATACCGATATCGCTACTCCTCAGACCTCTCCCGGGATGCGTTCTGACCAGAACTGCGAGGCGAATCCAGCGGTGCCGACGAGGGCCCCCCAGGAGGCCCCAAAAAGGAGAAAACGAGGGAAGAGTAGTGGTACAGTCGGGGCGTTGACCTAAGGAACCCTAAATAAGGAACGAGGCCCATTTTTTCCATAAGTTAAACTTCGATTTCCTATCGGAAACATAAGGAAAACCTGATGCAAGCTGTGAAACACTTAGGAACGCGGAGACCCTCCCCAACGAAAAGGGTTCCTTCTTCAGGGCCCCGACTGTAGTGGTATCTGTACCTTTCCTTCTCCGACAGATCGGTCGTTGCTTCATCGGGGGGGGGGGGGCAAACAACGGGGGGGGAGAAGAAGACGGTGCACCTTTCGTGCACCTTCGGGGCCCATGAGCGCGTTTCTTCATTTTCGGTGAACTGGCATGACAAGGGGGGGAAGGGGGCCAGGCGGGGGAGGTATAAATGTGACACCTCCCCCCCGCCGTTGCGCCCGATGCGCACCATGGCAGTGCCAGGAGCTGACTAGGGGGGGGACGCGTTACGTTATTAGGGGGGGGGGGGGTCAGGGGCTATCGTGCCCACAATGACCCAAGCAATAAAGAAACACGCTCCATAGGGGCCCCAATGAGGGCTCCTTCCCTGCGACCGTCGCACCCCCCCCCCCCCCACACAGGCATCGAATCCCCCCCCCGTGCGAAACGCCTGGCACTGTGGTGACGCGCAGTGCAGCTGGGCCGTACGGCAGATTCAAGTCGCGATGACATCGTGTTTGGTGTGTGACAGGGCTCGAGGTAGACAATGGTTGTCGTTCTCGTTTTGTTTCCGTTTGCCTTCGTTCTGGCTTTGTTCCGCCTTCGCTGCAGAACAAGCTCAAAACGAAACGGCCCACGAGATCGCAGAGACACCGTTTAGATCGACACCTGGACTTGTGATACCGCGTGGATCGTTCAACCCTGAACGATCGGAGCTTCCCGATGCCGCAGAGCGTTCGACATCGGCCAGCCCTGGGCGCCTGGCATCGTTCAACCCCTGCACGCCAACGCTGGGGTCGCCGCCGCGTCAACGCAGCGCGAACCTGCCCTGCCTGGTCATCGCTTGGACGTCCATTCCCTGTGTTTTTGTTCGGTTTCGTGCGTGGTTTTTTCCGCCAAGTGATCGACGACGCTCCTCGATGGTCCTCGCCTAAGGAACAATGCACACGTCCGAGCGATGCCAAGCTACGTCACTGGCAGTGCACTCGCGCATGGCCCACAGCTGCTTGAGAGGTGCTCCCTGCATGTGCCGCGCGTGATCCGCACCGCGGCGCCTCGAAGCCGCGACGTGACGACACCGCGGGCACCGCGGCGCCACTGCGCCGCGGCACGGTGGACACCGCGGCGCCACGGCAGTGAGAATAGACGACGCAGGCGGCACCGCCACCCCAAGCCTCGGCGGCGAGCCCAGATGCGAGGAGCCGCCCACCTCCTCCGCATCAGCGAGGAGGAGGAGGAGGAGGAGGAGGAGGAGGAGGAGGAGGAGACGGAGACGGAGGAGGAGGAGGAGGAGGAGGAGGAGGAGGAGGAGGAGGAGGAGGAGGAGGAGGAGGCGAGGAGGGAGTAGGAGGAGGGGAGGAGGAGGAGGAGGAAGAGGAGAAGAGGGGGTGGGCATTCTTCAGAAGGCGGCGCCGGCGTACGCTTCTCGAACTGCCATCAGCACCTCCGAGGAGAAGCTCGAAGTGAAGGGTTCGGTAGGATTGGGGGAGAAAGGAAACTGGTCTTCAGGAGCCCCGAGAAAGAAGCCTAATTCGCACGGTTCGTGTCTTTCGGGGAGGCTTGGGGAGACTTCTCGGAGGGCCCGACACCTTCCGAGCCCTTTAAGGAGGCTGACTTTACCGGCCTGGAACATATCCCTATCCCTATGCTGGGCACCTCTTCATCATGATGTCAATCTTAGGGATTCCCTTATTTTTTGAGGGCGAATCCCTAAGATTGTCATCGCCTTTTGGCGTGTCAATCTTAGGGATAGGGATACGTTCGAGGCTGGTGATGACTGGGCCCACGTGCATCCCCCCCCGGGCGCGTCGCCGGAAGACACCGCGCGCGAAAGTCGATGCCGGGGGGGGGGGAGGGCGCGAATCCAGACCCGGAACGTGGCCCCACGCTGCGTCACGTGCGGAGCCTCGGGCGCACGGCACGACAGCTGTGGACTCGCGCCCGAGAACCCAGCCATGTACACAAAGTACACTGCATGTGCCACATACCATGTAGCGTGTACCCTGTAAACGTTAATACAAAATAGTATGTCAAATACCACGCGCCATCCAGAATGCACCGAACCCCTTAATACCACGCGCGCAGACAGACAGAACATGTTTTGAACACCGCATACGACGTTTCCCCATGTACGATGTCTGCACCATGCAAGTTGTACCACGCACCTCGTACCACATGCCAATGCAATGAAGCCTTCGAAATGTACCCAACCACACGCGGCACTGTGTACCGGTGACGACGTGCCGTGGGGCATGCGTCATACACTGCAGCCGAACATCTGATCCAGAAAGCGATTACTTCAGAAACCTGGG